TAACCGCAGAGGATTAAGTGTGCTTTCGGAAATACGCACCCGGTTGGCATCCAAGCGCGGCGGTCGGGGCTGGAAAGCAACAAAAATGAAGTTAAACGGGGCCGTTTAAAATATCCAGAAAAAAATATAAACGGAGTTTTAACCACGGTGCCAATGCAGTAGCAATTTTAGTCCCTTCGTGATTGCGACGTCATCAGAGAAAGTTCTCCAATAAGCGACTTTTAATGGAGTAATCGTACAAGGACCTCTTGCTGAGAAGAGCATTCGAAAGTTTAAGCTGTGCAAAAGGGGAACACGGTTAGAACAGCAGCCAACTTACACATTCAAAACAAGTGCCGACACAGGAGGAGGCCCCTAAAAACAAAGTGTGAAAGTCCGCAACAGCGAGGGGGGGAGTCGTAAACTACTGTGAATGCCTTAGAGTCTGGCAATAACACCAGTATAAGACCTAAGGGTTACGTTCAACATACCAGCTGCTGGTGAGACCTCATTACCTACTAGCAAATACGAAACGTCGAGGATTTCAAACAACCTATGGTGCGGTTTGCGACAAGAGGAGACAGCCCCAGCAAGTAAAGACAATGTAGCGGTCGCAAAGAAAAAGGACGTCACAGGATGAGCAGGCATCCGAGTTTGACAAAAAACTGGACTCCAAAAACCAATGCAAACCAGGTAGGCGGTGAAGTAACACGGCCATGACTTGCCACCCCGCGGTCCACTATTCGACACATTAGTCCCAGCAAAGTTATCACATTTTTCATAATGTCATTCTTAATGAATATAGATGCTAACCAAAAGCGATAATAGCGAAAATGCTGGCACAGTGGTCGACAATTTTGACCAACTCAGACATGTCCGCATTTTGCGTATACACAGTCGCATGCCGTGCAGCATTCGTGTTTCTGGATCTGCAAAATTTTCATTGGCACCTAATTTTCATTTGCACCCACGACTATTTCAAGGCTCCGCTAAATTTGCGATAGCATCAAAGAGCCCTACAAAATTACCTAGGTAACATACTGGCGGCAGCGCATAAGTACTAGATAAGAGCCCAGACACGCATGCTTCGTCGATAATCTGCTGCTGCATAGCACAGCTGCGAGGGGTGCGGCTGTGACTGTCTGTTGGCAGGTTTTGCATATTACGCGGTTACCTCAAAATGGCTGATGAACTTCGGCCCAAATATTCATATTAAATTTAGGTCTGCGTCTGTAGACTTTCGAGCATACTGATCTACTCCAAGTTAGAAATTAATTTCTGGGGAAATTAAAAGGCTAAAAAGTGCTTGTGTCAAATTTGCAGTGATGTAAGAGGAAAGAAAGACGCGATCCCTGGGACGGCAATTGCATTGGTCTGAGTTTTCGGCTTCGCACAAGAAGCCATTGTTAGAGAAAATGAGAAAACAGCAAGCGTTGGCATGCTTTTGTAGTATAGCTACGAGTAAATGGGGGTTGGGGGGGGGTTAGCATTCGTAATTGGTCCATGTTCACGGCGTCTCATCGTATTGCTTCTGCGCGCGTCTTTGGCGTCATGTCGTACGGCCTTGGCACCGGGTCTTGCGTCCTTGGCGTGGCAGCGTGCGTGTCCGGACATGAACCGGAGCTTGCTTCTTGGTCGCGCGTACGGAGGGTAAAATAACAAGGCCACGAATT